TTTTCTTGTCTATCACACACGCCACACTTGACACCAATTGTTACGTTTTTCGTCGGTTCCGTGTGGATAGAAAGTCCCAATTTATTTAAACACTATTTATTTAACACTAATTAACAAAAACAATAACGATAAAAGACTTATAGAACTATTTACAAACGATTTATAACTAAGAATTTATTTTGAATTTTAGCGCGTCAGCTTTTATACCTACAGCAAAAGAAATCTAGAATAGTCCGATCGTTAGGCGCATAGAGAAGGTTTTCGAATGTTCTCGTATGTACTAGTCCATTCTAGTGGGTCTCGATTCTTCTCGAACGAATGAATCATTGCGGTGTCTATGCGATGTTAAGGTCATCCGAGGGCGGGCCATATTGTGAGGTTAGATCGAGTCCACACCGGCTCGCAACAATATAATATAACAATAAACAACCCCATATAACGAGCTCACCAGACTTATAACTTTTTACCGAATACCCTAAAGAATGAGAACAACTATCACATACATTTAGTCATAAGCTCAGGATTGAGTTAGATTAGAATCTTGATCTTGGAGAACATATTATAGTATGCTACTATGTTAGGTTAAGAGATATAATTTTAGTGTTAATTTAGGCTTAATATTAAGTATTAAGGTAGTTATGTATATTACTATGTTTTTGGATTAATATCTTCATTCAAACCATCGGTAATTTCAAACTTGGTAACTCCAATATGCAACCGCAATTTTGAGAAAGATGAATGTAGCATTTTAGAAAATTTGCATGATTTCTTAAATAGAGATAACACCTTTACAACTTATTACAGTTGGGGGTTGGAACCTTTGGTGTCACACAGCAAAATAAAATACTAAATCACCACAATGCACCAAAACACTTTTACTTTTACACTGGACGCGCGTTTCGCTAACCATGTTAGCATCATCAGCAGATGATCAAGACTACACGTATTAATCACCTCTCTTCTGATCATGACAGCTCGTATTAAATTACCAGAAATAAGCATCATGCCAATTGCCACGTGAAGAAACCAAATTCGAAAAGGCCAACGATTTTCAGAGTCACCATATAAAAAAGAGCCGGAAGATACTAAGAATATGAAAAACAAAAGTAAAGGCATAAGAAAACTTGTATTTAATTGTAATTATAATGAATAACAAGTGTTTATATAAAAACACAATGTTTATTTACGAAAAGTACGAATCACTTACTTATAATTACTTTACACCAGTATGGATCAATCGGTATTCCCTCAATTACCTCTGAGGACGTCATTTCAGCATGTAAAATGTTAAAGAATAAAAGCCACATCTGGCTCCGATGGCATTCCCAGCTTTTTTGTAAAGGACTGTTCTACTGTCCTATGTGCTCCCCTCGGCCATATTTTGAATCTATTATTAAAACATGGTGTTTTTCCTGAGATCTGGAAGGTTGACAAGGTATGTCCTGTTTTTAAAAAAGATGACCCATCTCTTATACTATTGTAATGTTTTTAGTTCGTTACATGTCTTTTTTATATATGATATATATGATGTCTGGCGTATCGTCATCGGATTCCGTATCGTTCAGGCCTGATAATTTATTTGGCACGCTTGGCGTAATTTTTACGTTCCCTAGTCGCCAACCCTGTTATCGTTTGACACAACCCTGTTATCGCTCTGAGGAGGCGCTGTCAACATCGCTTCTGGCAACTCTCTCCGTGCTTAACCTCACTTTGTTTTGCCGCTCTGTTGTATCCCGGCTTTTAGAAATGGTGATTATTTAAATCTTGCTGTATAATTTGAATCAGCTGCTATTTTAAACCAACAGGGTAGAGTTTTGGATGTCCCAACTTAACTTGTATTTGTATTTTGCTGGCACGTTGGCGTCCCTTTTCTTTTGTCCTCCAGAATGTTACATGGAAGAAAGGACAGTTTCTTTGTTTATTATTGAGCCCTCGGAAGTAATTCGAGGGTTCAAGGTAAGGACTATTTACAAGGTACGGGCATTATCCAAGGTCCTAGTAGTATCCAAGGTACGGGTAGTGTTCCCCTGTACCGTTGTCTTATGGACGGACTGTGTCCAAGGTTATGGTCCAAAGTACGGACTATTTCCAAGGTACAGGCATTATCCAAGGTACGGGTAGTGTTCCCTTGTACCATTATCTTATGGACGGATGTCCCGTGGACGAGTGTCCCCAGTAGGAGTGATTTATCTTACATATAAAGTGCCCCAGCGTGGATGTAGCTTGAGCCCCATGCTGCTTCGTTCCCATCTATAAGCCAGTTAGTAGTTACGGCTGTATCAATTCATGGTGTCCTCATTCTGACCCCTTTTGTTGTATTGGATGGCCGAGTGCAGAGATGCGAGACCACCTCACGCTGCTACTCTTTGAAACAGGATTGCCTCAAGAACAGCTAAGTGTAGATTTAGGTTCTGATTTTCAGTTGATTTTCAGTCTTAACTTAATAACGTACATTTTAAATAATATCGTACAGACTATATTTAGTGGTTAGATTATTAAGAACATTTATGTCGATTTAGTAGTTACAATATGATTTAGATCTCAGGTTTCATTACATTACGCCTTGTAATAGTATTTAACCACTATAATAATTATTAAAATTGTACAATGCTATTTACCATCAGGATACATCATGAATGAATATAGTCACACTAGTTTTAAGTCATAAACAACAGTGTTTTCTTTCTCTGTACATGCCTGGCGCCCAATATTTATATTTTCGAGTTATTATTGTTAATTAGTTCTTTCCAGTGAAATACCTTATCCACGACTGAGCAAGCTTTCTATTTATCAACATAGCTTTACTCTCAAAGATCTTGTATAACTAATCTCTGTTCTTTTTCCTCCTATGTCTGTGATGCCATTAATATAAGAAGTCAAGTGGATGTCATCTACACTGATTTTAGCAAGGCATTTGACCAGATTGACCACCATATACTACTCCATAAGTTGTCTAACTAATTTGGATTCTCGATCGAACTTTTATCTTTGTTAAAATCTTATTTTCTCGGTCGCAGTCAGTATGTCGAGCTTGAAGGGTTAAAATCTGATCTTTTTACACCTACGTCAGGCGTTCCACAAGGTTCTAATTTGGGACCGCTTCTTTTCAATATATTTATTAACGACCTTATTTCAATGCCCTACTGTCATAGACTTCCATATTCCGATGATCTTAAATTATTTAGCCGTATAGATACTGTCAGAGATTGTGTGTCTCTCCAGGAAAGCGTTGACTTGCTTAGTAAGTGGTGTTTGACCAACAGATTGAATCTTAACATCTCTAAATGTAATGTTGTTTCTTACTCTCGAACTAAAAGCCCAGTTCAATTCAATTACACTATAAACAAACATTGAACAGACTCTCGGTCATAAAAGACCTAGGAGTTATTTTCGACGAAAGATTCTCCTTTATTCATCGCATCGATCAAATGGTGGTTCACGCCCCTACAACACTCGGCTTTGTATTACGTAACAGTAAGCATTTTTTCAATTTATCAACTATCAAAATACTGTATTTCTCTTATGTAAGGTCGAAGCTTGATTATGGCTCAATTATTATCTGGTCCCCTGTTTATAATTGTCATGTGCAATCTGTTGAGTCTGTTCAACGGCGATTTCTAAAATACGCCATGTTTAGAGAAGACGGAATCTGTCCTCAACGGGGTGTAAATCATGCGCATATTTTGGATAGATTTGGTGAATTGCCCTTAAGTACACGTCGTGACTTGCAGTCGAGTCATTTTCTGTACAAGCTGGCAAATTTTAAAATTGATTCTCCATCTCTGCTTGAGCGACTGCCATTTCTTGTACCTCGTTTTGGCGCTAGACAGCATCCTGCTTTTTTTCTTGCTTTTGCGAGATCTAACATTGCTGCAGAGTCCGATTTACAGAATTTGTAAGAATCTTAATCGAATTTCCACTGCAGTAGATGTATTTCATGACACTCTCCCCACTATTCTCAGAACATTCTGTGATATTGCTGACCATCCCGTTTAGTCTGTGTTTAGTTAATTAATTTTTATATTTTTTTTTGTATTTTAGTTTAGTATTTAATACCTATTGTAATTATGAATTATATTTTAATCTTATTTGTACTATTTTAAGATATTTTACCTATTGTTTCTAATTTCCTGTAAGTGGGCTAAAATAAACGACTATTTATTTATTTATTTATTTATTTGAAAAGCAAGGAGGATTAATCAGTGTAAAAATTGTTCATAGGCACCTTAAACCTGTCGCACCTTAGATTTATTTTACTTGCCTATCTGGTTATAATTAGTGTTTTAAGTAATTCCATATTCCGTCCTATAACCTTAATTTTATACGATGATTGGTAAAACTAATTTCAGTAAAATTAGAAGCCTCGCTAAAAAGTAGGTTATGGTAGCTTAGTGTTAGAGGATAGTAAAATTCTTGCAGTTTGTTCGTACGACAACAAAGTGGTAAAAATGGTTTCTAACTTTGTGTCAATTGAATCAGAAAATTAAGTGAAGAGATGGCACAGAGCAAACATTTCACGAATATATAGGGTGTCATTTTGTTAAAATTATACGATATCTCCTTTTAATAAAGAGACATCGTATAATTTCTACTAATATCAAAATAGAAGAATGCGGTTTGTACAAACCTGTTTGCTGGTAAAATTCAATTGCTGATAATGCTGAGAACTGCGTTTATTCGATCAGTACATCAAGGAAATCGAAAAATATCAAGATACAGCTTTTAATTGACATTAAGCGGCCTACAGAATTTTACTAAAAAGTAAATCTTATTTTTACGTAAGGAATCTCCCCAAGAGAGAAGACACATGTTTTTTGAAACACCCGGGCCTGTTAAAAAAATAAACATTTTCTAAGAAATTTATTGATTTATTTAGTCTAACTTAATACTCGAAATCAAAACTCTATTTCAAACATACCAGTGTATGTTTCAATACCTATAAAAAATATCTACCACTTTTAAACAAATACAACTTTCTATATAACTTTGTTCTATTTTAGATAGCATTTATTTGCCAGATGGATTTTCACCACGAACCAAGAAGTGTTTCTGGAAAACTAGTAATATTTACAATTTTAATTTCTATGACGTTTATCTATACAGCATTCTCAGCAAGAATCGTTCTACTCTTACAATCCAACACAAACAGCATCAAAACATTGGAGACGCTTTACAATGCTAAACTGGATCTCGGTGTGGAGTCGAAATCTTATAATAAATATTATTTTACGGTAATGTTATTTGTAGCTTTTATTCTTAATACCATACACAATCTTGACCGCTTTTTACAATGAATAGTCTAAAAGTATACAAATTTAATTATAAAAAATCGAATTCCGGGAAAAAATCTATATTGTATTACTAAACTATTATACATATCGATCCACTTAGTTAAAACCTAGTTAAAATAACTTTCTAATATTATTGTTAATATTGAATTTTATTTGTTCCGATGTAACTGTCCTACGTAAAAAAATATGTAGAAACAAATTCACAAAATATTTCACACTGCGGGCTAGATCTTTGATAACAAATCGAGATAATTAGTAAAAGTTTAACAAAGTTATTGATACATCTTTAATTTTAATTCTTGTTACTTTTGTATACAAGGTGGCGCCTCTCATACGACACGGAGGCTCCAAGGCGAACGGTAGTTTATATAGAAATAAAATTTTGGGAGCATATTTAGGTTAATTGAAAGCATTTTATAAAAATATATATAGTTATACAGGGTGCTCCAAAAAAAAGTTACACATCAAAATTGTGTATTTTGTAATGGAACACCCTATATATTAATTGATTTTCGGAGATTCTAGGGAAAAAAATTAAGGATTTTGACTATTTCACATTTTGCGAAAATGGTTTCCTACCCCTCAAACAAAGATTTTCCTAGATATTTTCATTTTTATGATTTTGCGTCAGTATCTTTAAAATCTAGGGGGGTGGCTGTGTTCATTTAACAAAAATTAAAGAACGTAGGGTAAAATACTGTAATAAAAAGATACACGTTTAAACTATAGTATTTTAATTATCACAAATATCTTAATTATGTAAAAAAAAGTTGGCCAACTTAAATCAAATGCTCAAAATGCTTCCTTTCCTGTTTACTTCATAAAATGATTTTCTTTTCAAAAGATCGTTTCATGTTAAAAGGCATACGTGGAGTTTGGACTTTAAATGTGGCTTTTTAAAGTCATCAAAAATCATGAAATCATTTCTTTCATGTTGTGGAGAATAGTTGGTCGAGTTTTGTAAACACTATCTTTAACATATCCCTATAAAAAAGCACAGGCTAGAGAAAATCAAGAGCATTTAAGTATTCCATTAATTGGTGAATGCACACTGTATTCGCCAACTAATAGAATCATGTCAATTCTCTCTGATGTAGGGTAAGTTCCCATTTTCGGAAAATCTCTGAGATTTTTTTTATTTTAACTGACACAAAATGATAACTAGTTGCTAAAGCTGAACTAATTAGACTAGCTATGTTGAAGTGACATCAGACATATCACAGTGTCACCCTCCCTAGATTTTATCAAATAATAAAGATCTACTCACACTAAATAACATAGCATAAAAATAAAAATATCTAGCTAAATCTTTGTTCGAGGGGTAGGCAACCTTATTACATTTTGAAGGGACATGAATTCCCCCTTTGAATATAGGAATAATATACTAGGTTCCATTTAAATTTTAAAGGAGTAACTTGCTTTTAAAAGTAACCAGGTGTTCAACATTAATTTTGCCTCACCCTGTATAACTTTTGGGTTTTAATTTGATTTTAAGTACAATAGTTATTTTAACTACATACTAGGCTATACCGGGTTAATTCTAATTTAGGTAGCTTTTATTGAAATTTAAAAATTGTGCTTCATTTTTAGAAAATGATAAATAAGTCAAAAATCTTACATTTTAGTCATATAGTTCCCTAATAAAACTCACCTTTATTTTTCTTCTAGAATCCAAAAATAATTTAATATATAGGGTGTTCCATTACAAAAAACACAACTTTGATGTGTAACTTTTTTTGGAGACGCTCTGTAGAACTCTCTATATTTTTAAAAAGGGCTCTGAATTAATCTACATATGCTCACAAAATTTAATTTCAATACAAACTGTCGTTCTCCTTGGAACCTCCGCGGCGTATGAGAGGCGCCACCCTGTATAATAAAGCTTATAATATAACTTTTAGGGTCCTAATGATCGCAGTAATGAATATTGGCGTAAAACCATCTACGAGAAGAAAATCAAAACATCAAAAGGTGATAACTTTCTAAAACCGGAAGACGGGATGCAGCTGGTTAGGGATTCGTATTTTGCCTTTCATATTGAACGAACTGTATCGAACTACCTAATAAAAAAAAGTTTTACTAACGATCAAACATGTTCATTAAGAGTGGTAGATTCTATCTACAAATCCGATATGCCACATTTATTTTGTCATAAGGAGTCTCCATACGTTGATTTCTTTCTCGTAAGGTACGTTTCACAGATAATTTTAACACGCTTTTGTTAGTTTCACCTGTATTCATCGTCAGCATCACCTGGATCATCTATCTAGATATTTATCTATGTAACTGGAACTTTAAACGTCATTTTCACCCAGCTACCGAGACACCAAATTAAATTTAAACTTTGTACGTATCAAGGACCAGTGACTATAAAATAATTTGTATCATAACCATGATCAGGATATTGAACTTATCATTTATTTAGAAAAATGAAAAATATCATGGCAAATCTGCCAATGTAACGATGAATGTGGTTAGTCAGTGGCTTGCTGTAGTTTGGCCAGCTCAAAAACAAAACCACAAAGAGTGCAATATCGATGATATTGCACTTAATGGCGATGAAACAGGATAATTTTTTAAAATGATGCCTAACTCAACTCTAGGATTTAAAGGAGATAAATGTTCTGGAGAAAAAATGTCTAAAGGACGCCTTACTTACGATGAACACCGGTGTTACGTTGAACACCGGTGTCGCGATCAACACCGGTGCCGTTGTTAACACCTGTGTACATAAATAAAAACCTTGCTTATAACTGTCCCTCGGATATAACAACACTTTCTGCTGCACTTTGAGGGTTCGTTATATTTGAATTGGACTGTATCACATATATCTAGTGGTTTATCAAAAATTAATGTATTATTATTGTAGTTTCAGAAGACTATCGGAAACGGGAATCCACAACAGAGAATATAAAAACTGTTTTGTAAAGCAGCCGAAATGCCTGGGCAGAGGAAACATTTTTGTAAGTGTTGGATTAAAGGAATGCTACTTTGCGTTTGCTGTTTTTGGAAGCGGAATATGCCTAAGTATTGCAATATTAACCATTGAAATTATTGCAGCTCGTCATAAATATATCAAAAGAGTAATTTAGTTTTATTTTTAATTAAATAATTATTATATTTTATTTTATGTTTAAATCTAATATTTATGTTTTTTTAAATGTGTTTTTTTTGTAGCATGTGTTTCATGATACCTTTTCTTAGATTTATCTATTTTTATTACTATTATTAAATCATTAGTTGTTTCTTGTAATTTCCTCTTAACTAATTATAAATATGTCTTTATATTTTTTATGTTTATTTAACAGCAGCAGGTGAGCGCTACGCAATGTTGATAGTTTCTTTTCATTTTACCTTTCTAATATTTTTCCACAAAATACCTCTTTATTTGGTCAGTAAGGCAACGCCGCTAAATTCCGTTTTCTGATGTCATCTCAGGATTCTCAAAATCTTTTGAGGGTCATTTGGTTGGAGTCGACCATTGTCCTTTTCCCTTCCTGGTGGTGACGAGATTGTCAGTTCGTTTATTCCCCTCCAAATGGAGTGAAATATTTCTAAATTATTAAGAAATATTAGTAATAATTATTAGTGACCAAAAGTACCATATCAAAATTTGATTTGATATTTCAGTGTGCCATGTGGCCAGATATTGTAGTATGGGCAAATGTTATATTATTCTCGTTTTTCTACAATTTTCCTTATTATTTTAATAAGTTTCGATAGAATTGGAGATTCATGGATGAGATCTACTAATTTTTATTAGTCGTCAAATGCTTCCTGGGTGTTAATCTGTTACACTTAAAGGTAAGGTATCATAACTTGAAATCAATAAATATTCATTTAAATATTGTCCACAAGGTTCTTCGGCGGTTTATTATTGCTTATTTCTGATGGTTTTTTTTATTTACTTGGTCAGTTTTCGTACCTTTATTCAAGTTAAGGGTAATCTGGTGAGGTTATTTGTAAGAGAATCAGTAATTTGCCCCTGATCACATGGTGTCGAGAGATACACCCTGGTTTTCAACGTTCAAACAAAGATATGTGGCTTTGGTGATGCATCCGTTGTTCCTGGAGTTCACTCTGTTCAACCCTGCTCAACATCGCAGTGTTCAGCTGCTGCTAGTGGAAAACTTAGACATGCTTGTATAATGTTATTTTGGGACATTATTTTAAGCACCTTAATTAAATTATGTACACTATAAAAAGTAGTGTTGAATAACCTTAGTATTTCACTTGATTTAATTATTTACTTTAATTACAAATTTATAAAAAAAAATATAAATTTATAAAAGGCTAATTTAGTAGTAAAGAATAGCTTTTTACTTAACTTAGGTATTTTAAGTACAGTTTATTTAATGAGAGATGAAAGAGCTTGTATAGAGTATAGTACGCTACGCTATAGAGCGGCTACTAGAGTATAGCTACGCTATAAAGCGGCCCGAAGTATAAAGTACACTTAGCTCAGCCCCTAAAACGTCCTCAGCCCCTAAAACATCACTCATTACATGCACCATATAATGAGTGATTCTTAATTGATTTTAAAGTTGAAACCAAGTTTATTTTCCTTTTTGATTCAGATAGACAAAAAACTTAGCATTATAATTATTACATACTAATTTTAATTAATATATAAATATATAGATTTAGTTTAGTAAACGCTTACTTGTTTTATTGTATGAATTCCATCTTGGCTAATAACATTTTTTCCTATTTACAATTTTCTGATTTTTTATGTTATTTAACTATTAGGTAAATTCAGTGACGTTCACTTGAGCACAAACCTTACACTATGATGCCCTCCAGGCGAACAGCAACGTTGCGTCGCTGTAATGTATTTACGGTTACGTTTCAAAAGGTACAGGAGAAAAACCTCAGTCCAATAAAAATACAAAATATTGATTTTTCTGCGATAATATCCCCCCCCCCCTTTAAACTAAATAAATCAAAAGTTCAAAATCAAATCCTAAATAATATATCTAATACACTTAAGGCCGGATTCTCACCAGATCGGACCGACCCCAATCGTCCAGATTTCGATCGCGCGATAAAGATCTTGCATCTAATCGCAAATGGGTACGTGTCCACTGACAAGATTTCAGTCGTGGCCGATTTTAATCGGGGGATATTAGTCGTACGCGACGCTGCTTGCAACGCCTTTGGTCGGCAGTCGGCAGTTATTTCTTCGACTGACACACATTTTCTGTAATTTGTATCTCGTTTGGAAATATATGCCCGCACCATGTTACATAGGAGGTTAAAGCTGTCTTTCGACATGCGGTACATAGCTTTGAACTTGTCGTTGTATGCCAATTCACGAGCGCAAATGAAAGCCCTCTGTTTTGATTTTCCGCTATGTACGGATGTACCCAAAACCGGCGACGACGCGACGGCGGCGTCTTCGTCTTATACACGCGAGTGCTACAACTTCGTCTTCACTTAATGACATCTTGGAGGAGACTAGGTATCTCCACTTTAAAATAAATCTGACCATAATCGTCCCGATGCAATCCGATGAACACATTCAATCGATTTCGGTCGGAATGACCACAATCGAATCGATCTGGATCAGGACGATTATGGTCGGTCCGATTTGGTGAGAATCCGGCCTAATGCTAAAAAATCGTTAATGATTTTGTTTTTAATAAAAATCTTGCTCAAAAATCTCCTTTAACTGTTTGTCTTAATAATTGGTATTTATTGGCAACCAACTTATTTGTTGTTTTTCATACTATTGTTCTGCTGGAAATATCAAAAAAGTGCGGTAATGAATTAGATTTTTTCAAGTTGCGTTGTGACCGTGTGCATTTAGGAGCCTAATATTAAAGTTTCGTGAGAAATTATGGTGACTGCGTTCTATCGAATTAGATTTCAAAACGGTACGCTGTGAGAGAAGATCGAGTGAAAGACTTGGCACTGACTGAAATACCTAAAACCCATGATCCAAAAAAAACAAGGTATGATATTGCGCAGGTTGGTTACTACGTCACAGGTTATAAAGGGCACCATTGGTCCAAGGACTGTATATATTCTAAAGGACTGTTCGATCGCGTCAAATCGCCGCTATCGTAGTCACCGTGGATGCTTACGTCACGCAGGGACCAGCGCTCCCAGGAGCGATGTTTGGGACTTAAAATCTAAGAACATAGCAAATGGTCTAATATAGCAACCATATGGTTAAATTTATTTATTTATTAACAACTTAATTTATTGATAAATAAATTAATACAAGATAATAAAACTATGATATTATTCGTTCATGACACACAAAAACCGTACTGTAAGCTATTGCCAAATACATAAAATTATGATAGCAGGTGAAATACTTACAAAAAACTCTTTAGCAGTTATTTTTTAATTACTTTGTAATCTCGTGACACCCTGTATATTTTATTTTAAAAAATTCTATTTTATTTTGAAAATAATAAATAAGATATTTTAATTTTAACACTTGGTAATTGTAAATTCATATATAGGATCTAAGACAATTTTTTAAACTTTTATTAAAACTAGTAATAATCAGCAAAATAAAACACTAAATCACCACAATACACCAAAACACTTTTACTTTTACAATGGGCGCGCGTTTCACTAACCATCATCAGCAGATGATCATTAGCATCATCAGCAGATGATTATAAAACTGCTGATGATGCTAACATGGTTAGCGAAACGCGCGTCCAGTGTAAAAGTAAAAGTGTTTTGGTGTATTGTGGTGATTTAGTGTTTTATTTTGCTGTGTGACACCAAAAGTTCCAACCCTCAACTGTAATAGTAATAATCATTTAGTTTTATTATAAATTATCAGAAAGTAAAATTGCCGAAGTGACTATTGATGTCATTCATTAGCTACCCATATACGGAAAGGTCCGGCCTACGGACTTGGCCTTGGGTCCGGGCCTTTAACCCAAAATACCATAAGTTTGCGTTAAAGGCAAAGTCCGCGGATATATTTCCGCTATGGTAATTTGGGTGAAAGCCTCGGCATCAAGGGAAAGTCCGAAGGCCGGGCCTTTCCGTGTATGGGCATCTATTAATTTTTTAAACTCAGTGCCTTTCGATGAAGTTAAGGCTTCAACAATTACAGCAGCATCCTTACTCCTTGCTACCACTAGCCCTAAAGCTCATACTACTTGCAAAACCCAATTCTTCTTTTGAAGGCTCTTCAATTAACCCTTTAACGAGTATTTGTTTCATTTTTATACTATCCGATTGAAATGAAACTTTTGGGTAATCACCTGTTAAGCTTGAACTCCTTGTGACTGACTACCTGTGTTGCTAACTATTAGTAACTCAAAAGATCTACATCATTCAATATATCAATATTTGAAAACTTTCATGTTTTTTTCAAAAACAACTTTTTTTTTGAGTTCAGGTAAGCTGCTAGCAATGATGATAGTATCGTCGGCATATCTGATGTTATTAATTATGTTTCCATTGATTTTGACTCCATCGCGCATATCTTTAAGGGCCTCCGTGAAGATCACCTCCGAATATAAATTGAAGAGCAGGGGTGATAATATGCAACCCTGTCGGACGCCTTTCCCTATAACCATTTCTTCCGACAGGCGGTCCTCCACCCTTACTTGGGCCGTTTGATGCCAGTAGAGCTCGGTTACAATTCTCAGATCTCCCTCGTCCACACCCGTGGCTCTCAGGATCTCAGCCATTTTCTGGTGTTGCACGCAGTCAAAAGCCTTACGGAAGTCTATGAAGCAGGCATATATATTTATGTTCATGTCGCGTGCCCTCTGTGTAAGTACGTTAAGCGAAAACAGTGCTCACGGGTCCCCACGCCATTCCTGAAGCCAAACTGGGTGTGATCTATCTGCTGTTCGCATTTCCTGTATATACGCGTGTGTATGATTCGTAGAAAGATCTTTAGCACATGAGACATTAAGCTTATCATTCGATAGTCATCACACCGGGATGCGTGGGCCTTCTTAGGCAGGGTAACAAAAGTTGACTTGAGCCAATCTGATGGTATTTTACCGGAACTGTATATGTCGTTAAACAAATCTGTTAGGTAAGTTAACCCAGCACCGTCTTGATAGGTGAGGAGTTTTAGTGTTTCCGCGTGGATTTCATCCGGTCC